AAGAAGGTCTGCGCATCAGCATCTAACAGACACGGGTGGGGACTCCTGGGTCTCCACTTACTAGCTTTGTGTCCTTGAACAAATTATGCCATCGCTCTAAGACTTAATTTTTTATCTCCATAAATGGAGTTGAGGGCATATTCAAAGTCCGCCTCCTTTGCCAAGAAACCAGAAGACATGCATGGTGCCCAGTTACAATTTCTGAACATTTTGATCAAAGATTCTATTCAAGAATCCTGATTCTTTAGTAGTCTCGGAAGAAATGCACAACAGAATTTCAAATTCTTGTGGAATCCAGACACCCTGAAACTATTATTACCTTGTGACCACCTTTGAACATTAAACCAAAAATATCTCCCGAAGTCTTCTTAAACCAAGCAATGCTTTAGCTTGTTCCTGTTGTTGTTAATTGCCATCGAGTTGGTTCACACTCATAGCAACCCTGTATAGGGTTTCTGAGGCAAGACTGGTGCGTTTGAACTGCTAACCTTGCAGTTCAAACACAGCAGTTTGATCCTGCAGTCGAATGCTTATCTTACAGTGTCACAATTCTGCCTTGAGCACTGTGTTCTTTTAAGATCTATCTACATGGGATCAAATTGACAATAGCAACTAGAAAGATTAGATAAGAAACTGAGGGGCAGTGAGTTAGTAAGGAGGCACAGTCCTGGTGTGGTGCTGTAGCCATCAGCATTGGACTGTTAACCACAACTTTGGTGGTTCAAATCTACCAGGCTGCTCCTTGGAAGCCCTATTCAGAGTCACTATGAGTCTGAACCAACTCAATGGCACCTAACAACAACAATTCTGAAAGGAGGGTGAAAGGGGTTGGATAACTGGAAGCAAATGATCAATGCCACTGAATCATATATGCAGACGTTGAATTAGTGTATGTTCCACTGTGTACATCCTAAACAACAACAAATAAATTATACTTAAAGAGAGTACTAAAAATAGAAGGTTCTTGTGAGGGTTATGTTGTAACTTATGCTAGCCCTTTGGCCAAACGTCTCTCACATAAATAATAGGTACTCAGGAAGTGGTGTTTCCCCTGTCCAAGGGGTACTGGACTCTGCTTTAACCCATACAGATAGCGGTACAGTGGTACGGAGTTGGGCTACTAGAATTGGAATGTCCCTAATTTCTAGGAATTCAGCAATGATCCAGGGGGCACTGGCGGCTCCAGGACAAGACGGAGAGTCTCCCTCAAGTATCATCTGTGCTAAATGATAAGAAATATAGAGTTTATTTTTGCACTGAGGCCAGTAATTCTTAAATGGTAAATTCTCCCTTTCCACATGCGAAAGACCCAGGTTTGGTGTCTACTTAATGCGCCTCATGCCCAGCTACCACCTGTCTGTCGGTGGAGGTCTGCACGATGCTGAACAGGCAGGTTTCTTTCCAGAGAAAGAGGAACTTACAGAGGAAGAAAGGCCTGGTGCTCTACTTCTGAAAAATTAGCCAATGAAAACCCTATAGGTGACAACGTTCGGATCCCATTGAGCATGATGTCACCATGAGTCAGGGGCCCACCTAGATGGAAGACAACAACTTTCTTATATTAATTCCAAACTGGCTATATTGTGGAAGAAAATCCATATAAAAGGGGCTTCAAAAAGTTAGTGGGAAAATTCCATCCTCTTTTTACTTCATTTTTTCCATGCACATTTTGAAACCCCCACTCCCCTCAATCTGTTTTCTCCCACAATTTAACTAGTTTGGTAAGTGTTTATTGATGTTTTTGATCTTGTTAAGTGCCATCAAATCAGTTCCCACTCATAGAGACCCTGTATAGGATTTTCTGAGGGGCGACTGGTGGATTTGAACTGCCAACTTTGCAGTTCAAACTGATATTGCCGTTGAGTGCTTATCCTACAGTGCCACATGAGGGTTAAAGATAACGTTAAAAGATGTGAAACGGATGCCATCACACTGGTAGACCACATCCTCTCTACTCAAGCAGAAGAAGTGGGGCCTGGGGGCTTTTACCGTTCTTCTCGCTGATGGGGGTATTTCAGAGACCCCGTATATGGAAGGTGCCTCTCCTCAAATCAGAAGATGTGTGTCTCCTTTCTGAGAGAGAGGAAGTCAGTCATCCCTCTCTCTCAGGGTCTGTTTCCTCCTGGGTAAAATTAAGGGGATTTCTAACCGATGATTAGAGTCTCAGTCTGTGATAATGAGTCAGGAAATATTTCTTGAATGAATGGAAGGGCATCTATCATAAGTTAAGAATTTCATGCTATCCAGCATCCCTTCCTGTGTGGGGCAATTTGCAAGCAAATGGAACCAACTGCCACTGGCAATCAGCCTCAAGCACACCTACTACTAGGCATGGTGCTGCAGGAAGTAGATGCCCAGTGTGCACCTAGAGAAAACTACAGTCATTGTTGCTAACCTCAGCAGTGATGGAAATCTCCTTCGTAGCTTCTTCACCAGGGATAACACATTAAGAACTCTAATGGGAGCAGGAAGGAGGAGTCTTTCATACTCAATGGGAGCAAAAAGGTTCTCACAACCCCCACCGGGGCTCTTAGCTGCAGCCCTCTCTTTCACCGCCAGGTGCTCAGTTCCCAGAAAGGGCTTCATGCCCACAAAGGGAAGGAGATGTGTGCACGTAGGGCCTATGTCTGACTCCATAACAGCTCATACTCCTATCCTCTCCCCAGGGCAGCGTTCCTTGTCCTGCATAGGACACCTGGTTCAATACACCTGCTCTCCAACTGGGAGTTTCTGTGTCCAAAAGTTGCTTAACTACATTTGGCCATTTCTTCACTTTTTTCTTTCCAATATGAAGATTGGACCCTTTATTCTTTCTGAACGCCTAGTCCTTTCCAACGCTTCCTCACTGTCTTTCATCACCCACATACTACCCATAGTGGGACGACCATGGTACCTTTCCTTCCTCACTCCTCTTTCTCTTTCCCCTCTACCTGCCCAACCCCAAGCCTTGGGTTACATCCTGTCTCCTTTCCAAGACTCAGCTCTTTCCAAACAACTTTATAAGCACATGAAAGCCAAGGCCAGGGCAGTTATTGCTACTGGCACTTCACTGGGTTTCCAGATGACGCTGCCCTAAGAGACCAAGGCAGCCCAGGACAGGAGTGAGCCTGCTGATCTCTGGAAGAACCTCTAGGGTCAGAATGGTGTCAAATATTTGGAAATGGGGCCCTTGAGAAATATCAGAGACAGGTTGAAGGATTCAAGAATTAGAATCTTTAGAGACAAAGCCCAAAACTTTACTGGTAGGTCAACTTAGCTTCGATATAGGCCACAGGGAGACCACCGAGGTGGTCCTCTTTGAAGCCAGGCCCAGGGCTCTTCCTGATACCAAGTTTCTTCGCTTCTCTCCCAACCTGAGCATTCCTCCCTCTCAAGGGCTGGGTGGTGGTTCATTTGCCTTCTAAAACCTGCCCTAAGGTTTCTGGTCCAACACAACCTCTCCTCCCCTCAAAATCTTTTCTGGGTTGTCCTTCCTACACCATCAAACATATTCCAACTAAGCACAGCCTTTGGAAATCAATGGACCTGAGTTCAAATCCAGATCACTACTTATGACTTAGGTGTATTTACAGAACGGCGTGGAGCCTGTTTCCGCCTGTAAAGTGTCGTGAGGAATGCTATCTCCGCTGTTATCATTATTATTTCTGTTTCCAAAATCAAAATCCTGCCTCTGCACTTATCCTGAGTCTGAAGTACCCAGGTGAAAATATGTCTTTTACTTTCTTGGAACTCCCAGAACTGAGTTTAATAAATACTTGCTGAGTAGAATTAACCATAGGCTGAGCTGTCTTAATGACCCAGCTGGCACTTCTTAAAAGAAAAATTAATTTTGCTAGTGATAAGTAAATCGGCCATATAATTATCTGTACATTCATAGACAAAGAAAGGGAATGCTTGGAATTCAGTTAGGCTTAATACCTCACATGCACAGCCCTTCTCCTGAATATCCACCACCACCGTCACCCCCAAAAGGCACAACCCTGTTTGGATGGGGGCACTGGCAACCCCAGCTCCAGGTTTAGGGATTGCACGCTGATGTCCAGGCTCATTTTCCTGCCTGGGAATGTGAGCCATGTTACTGTTTGGATTTCCCCCAGACTGACTGGCAGTTAACAGGAAGCTGCAAAGATTGAGCACCTCAGGCTTCCAGTGATGCCCCTCCTACTCACAGTCCCTGCCCCAGGCTGACACCCTGATCCAGGATCTCTGCGGAGCCAGTTCAAGTTCCCACAAGTGCTAGGACACGCACCGACTGGAGCCGACTCTAAGAACTTCAGATCCCAGGCGAAGTCATGAGCGATAGGGGCCTAGGGTTTCCTTTCTGTAAAGCTCACTGCCAGTGGCTCTCATAGGCTCTACTAGCCCACCCTGCCAAAAGCCCCTGCTACATCCTACCCCTCGATGTGTCTTTGCCTCAGTCTCTGTCCCATTTCCTCTGCCCCAACCCCTGTCCCAGTCACTAAACTACCGTTGCCTCAGCCTCTGCCTCTAATCCACCCCAGTCCCTGCTTCAGCCCTGTCCTAGACCCTGCCCCACCCTTACCCCAGTCCCATCCCGGCCCCAGTCCCAGCCTCTGACCCTCGTGCCTGCCCGGTCCCAATCCGGCCTGGGAGTCCAGAGCCCTTAGGCACAGAAGCCTGCTAGTCCAGACACTGGCCCCGCGCATCCCAGAGTACAGTTACTTTCTGCCATGTGCTCCGCTCCACTGACCTCACCCAGAACTGCGCGCCGGCAGCCTGCCCAGCCAACTTTCTTCTCTCCTTCCCTTTTCCTTTCAACCAAAGGATGCTTCCCAGCAACAATTCGCCAAATAACAGTTTAGCGCAAGCCTTAGTCCAACCTTCCATAGCCAGAACCAAGTTGTTCGCCGCTCACTGGACTTGGGTCTCCCGGGCCAAATTAGCCTGTGGAGCTGCCGTGAGTACTGAGCACCCGTGGCAGTTCCTCCCCCCACCCCACCCCAACACACACACCACTGTCCCGCTCAACGGGTACTCACCGATCTGCGCCAAACTCAGCTGCAAGAGGCAGAGTCCCCAGGCTGCGCGCCACCAAAGGTTGTCCATGATACCAGGGCGAAGGGGTGAGCGAGCGAGAGAGCGGAGCTGGAGAGTTCCGGTGCGCAACGTGGGGGCCGGCAGCGGACAGGGTAGGGGGGCGGCCCGAACCTGTCAGAGGCTGGGGTCCGGCTGGGCAATGAGGCCGCCTCGGAAGTTGGCTGCAGTTTTTATTCGAGGGTTGAAAGTGACCTAAGAGGGAGGGAGCAAGCAAAGGACACACCCAAGAGAGGGGGCTGTGACTAAGCAGCCGGCAAAGGTTTAAAGACGTACCAACCCTCCTCTCCGCGCCCCTCTTCCCTGCCCTCGCCTCCGCCTCGTTCTCTACCGAGATAGTCAATCTGGGCTGCCTCGGTCCAGAAAGTCCGGTCCCTCCCGCTACCCCAACCCTCACCCCACCCCCGGCGAGGGGCTTTCTTCTCCCAGCCAGCTGGATTAGCGCCCCAGCACTCAGGATAACCTAGTCCGTTAGTCTAGCCTCTAGACTCTTCTGTGCGCAAAGTTTCTCTGTGAATCTCGCTGGTGAGTAAATGGTTCTTTCTGGTTTTCACCGGCAGCTGAGTATCCTGGGAGAGAAGTTGGGACACAGGATGGCACTTTACTGTTCAAGGAGGAAGCACACATCCGTATACCCCTCAAGAAGAAACAAAGTCCACAATGCTCCGGTGGATTTGGGCTTCTTGTCAGGACTGCCCCGGGAAGACTAGAGATGACCATCCATAGCTCCTTCCATCTGCCTATTCAACTACCCACCCATCTTTCCTTTCACCCTGCCAACATTCATCCATCCCTCTATCCCCCTGTCTATTACCCATTCATCCAGCCTTCCATTCTCCATTCTCCTAGCGATCCATTTATCTACCATCATGTCTACATTCTGTCAACTTATTCACACATTTATTCATACAGCTTTCTTCCAGTCATGTATCCAACTGTGCATTGTTTCATCTATCCATCTATCCAATCCTATAGCCTTCCACCCATCCTACCATACATCTTCTCATCCTTTCATCCATTCTTTTTCATGTCTCCTCATAAACTCTCATTGATTCATCCATCATCCTCTTCTCCATCCATCTAACCACATATCTATTTGCCTATGTATGCATCAATTATTCATCCATCATCACATATTCATTTTGTAACCTGATACCCACACATCCATCCTTTCTTTTTTGCTGCCATGCATACTCTTATCTATGCAAACATTAATCCACAGCCACCAATCTTACCCACCTACCCACTGCCATCAAGTTGATTCTGCCTCAGAAATGACCCTAGGTAGGGTTTCTAAGAATGTAAATCTTTATGGGCTCAGACAGCCTCATTTTTCTCCCAAGGAGCAATTGGTGGGTCTGAACTGTTGACCTTGTGGTTAACCACCCAGCGAGAGACAGGAATTGTCATATTCTTTAAGAAGAGAAGGTTTAAGCTTAAAAACATATATTTTACATTATAATTCATATTAGCATAAAATTTTGCTGAAGATAATTCAAAACCAATTTCAGCAATACATTGAAATAGAGCTTCCAGAAACCCAAGCTGAAATCAGAAGAGGACATTGAACTAGGGATAGCATTGATAGTGTCACGTGGATCTTGGCTGAAAGCACAGCGTACTAGAAAGATGTTTACCTGTGTTTTATTGACTATGCAAAGACATTTGACTATGTGGATCATAACACACTATGGATAACATTGTGAAGAATGGAAATTCCAGAAAACTTACTTGTGCTCATGTGGAACCTGTACATGGGCCAAGAGGCAGTTGTTCAAATAGAACAGGGAGATAACTGAGTTGTTTGAAATCAGAAAAGGTGTGTGTCAGGTTGTAACCTTTCACAAGACTTCTTCAATCTGTATGCTGAGCAAATAATCTGAGAAGCTGTATTATGTGAAGAAGAATGCAGTATCAGGATTGGAGCAAGTCTCCTTAACAACCTGAGATATGCAGATGAGCAAATAATCCAAGAAGCAAGATTATATGAGGAAGAATATAATCAGGATACCCAGGAGCCAGGATGTTGGGACTACTTACTTTCTCACCCTTTAGACATGCTATTAGGAGGTACTAGTCCCTAGAGAAGCACATCTTGCTTAGCAAAGTGGAAGGTCAACGAAAAAGAGGAAACCTCCCAATGAGAAGGAGTGACACAGTGGCAACAGCGGTGAGCTCAAGTGTAACAACAATTGTGAGGCTGGCTCAGGACCAGGCCGTGTTTCATTCTGTTGTGCATAGGGTCATTGTGAGTCAGAACCAACTCACATCACCTAGCAACAACAACAACAAAAATATATGCAATATATGCTTGCTGAAAGCCAAGAGGACTTGAAGCACTTACTGATGAAAATTTTAAAAACTACAGCCTTCAGTAGTTTACAACTCAATGTAAAGAAAACAAAAATCTTCACAACTGGACCAATAAACAACATCATGATAAATGGAGAAAAGATTGACGTTGTTAAGGATTTCATTTTGACTTGGATGCACAATGTTCCTGTAAACAGTAGTCAATAAATCAAAAGACCTATTGCATTAGGAAAATCTACTGAACAAGACCTCTTTAAAGAGTTAAAGGGCAAAGATGTCACTTTGGAGACTAAAGTGTGCCTGAGGCAAAACATATCTTCAATAACCTCATATGCATGTGAAACCTGGACAATGAATAATGAAGACCTTAGAAGAATTGATGCATTTGAATAAATACCATGGATTATCAGAAAAACAAACAAGTCTGTCTTGGAAGAAGTACAGCCAGAATGCCCCTGAGAAGCAAGGCTGAAGAGACTTGGTCTCACATACTTTGGGCATGCTATCAGGGGGGACCAATGTCTGGAAAAGGACATTATTCCTGGTAAAGCTGAGGGTTAATGAAAACGAGAAAGACCCCTAATGAGATAGACTGACATAGTAACAACAGTGGACTCACACATAGCAACAATTGTGAGGATGGCAATGTTTCGTTCTGTTGTGCATAGGGTCGCTGTGAGTCAGAGCCACCTCGCCAACACCTAACAACAATACAAGTTACTTGGAAGCAGTTCAAACACATGGTAACACCATGTATGTCAGAACAAAACTCTGCTCCATAGGATTTTCAATAATTGGTTTTCAGAAGGAGATCACCAGGACTTTCTTTCTAGACACCTCTGGGGACCTCCCACCTTATAGTTAGCAGCCAAAGCATTCACCAAAGTACTGTGTTTTAATACTTGGAAATCATAAGCTGTATTTGTTTTGAGTGTGAGGGTAAAGCTGAATGGACTTCTTGTCTGGTGAGACACACAGAAGCTGATAGAGGTATTCAGTGGCTGGGGCATGATGCTGAAGGAGACAGGCCAGAATTTCTGAGAGAAGATCAGATTTTGTTATTTATTAAAATGACTTTAAAAACCCGAGAGAAAATGTACCCAGCCATCAACCCATCTAGTTGCTCATATAATATGCACTGAGAACCCAAGAATACCAAGAAAAATAAGAGCTGGCCCTGTTGGGGATCTCCTGCTAGAGAGAGACACAAAAGCCCAAGCAAGCTGTTACCACATAACATGATGTGTGAAGCCTGTATTAATCCTGAAGAAGGGAGCCCCAACCTCACCTTAGGAACACTAGGGAGGTCTCAGGGTGGAGGTGATATTTGAACGAGGTCTAGAGAGAGCAGGAATGCTTCCAATTAAATTAGAGGAACAAGAATTCTGCAGTGATTGACAGTAAGGATGCAGTAGCCAGAATGCTTGGCTGCTTGTTAATTTTGTGTGACGCTGGACACGTCAAGTAACCTTTCTGTGTCTTCATGTGTAAAATGGGGTTCATAATAATATCTATTTAGTAGGAGTATGTGAAGATTATTATTCATTATGAATGAATCAAAAATACTATATATGCAATGGGGCTTCTAAAAGTTCATGGAAAAATGGGAATGAAAGATGGTGGGATTTTTCTATGAAGTTTTAAAAATCTCATCATAGGAATTGGATTCCTGGTGTGGCACTGTAGGATCAGCACTGGACTGCAAACCACAACGTCGGCAGTTCCAACCTACCAGCTGCTCCTTGGAAATCTATACGTTATGAGTCCGAACCAACGCGATGGCACTTAACGACATCATAGTAATAATTCAACTATAGAAGTGTTTGAGTCCCTGGGTGGGGCAAATGGTGAATGCACTCAGTTGCTAACTGAAAGGTTGGAGGTTTGAATCCACCCAGAAATGTCTCAGAAGAAAGACTGGCAAACTACTGAAAAAGTAGCCATTGAAAACCCTATGGGAGATAGTTTTACTCTGACACACGTGGCATTGCCATGACTCAGAACTGACTCTATGGCAACTGTTTAATATGTGTGTGTTTGCCATTATTATCAACAGTAAAATGATGTGTGAGTGTGAAAAAGGGAAAGAACATGACTTGCTTAGGGAGTGGAGAGCAGTTTTGAACTATTAGAGCATTAGATCAGATAAAGAGTTTTGGAGGTAGACAGTAAGATGTGAGACAAGACAGGTAGGAGAGGCCAGGTTGTAAACGATGCCAGAAAGTTTGAACTTGGACATGTAGGAAATAGAAAGCCAATACAAGTTTTGAAGCCTGTTTGACTATTGGCTGATGTAGTTGCATTTTCAGAGAGAGTGTTTGGGCTGAAAATCATTGTTTGCTGGAGCAACTCCCCAGCCAGTTGGCAGCTGACATTCCATAGCTCAAGGGGACACCTGTCTGTAATGAAGACAATGCCTCTGAGCCCCTACCTGAAGAGCAGACATTTTGGAAAAAATGTTGCCGTCACCAACAGAATTTGTTCCTGGACCAACTGACTAGCTTGGGATAAAGTGACTCCCAGGTAAAGCTTCAGGTTCCATCCACCTGGGCTCCAGGACCAAGAACACCAGGCTCTGAGTGGCCGTGGGCACCTCATTTTACTCCCGGGGAGTGAACTGAGTGAACATTAATTGAAGACAACGTTTCTCTTACCGTGTTTCATGGAACTTGGAAGGTCAGAATAAAGGCTATGCCTCC